AGAAGTCGCATTTACAACACTCCATTGGCTCGGGAGCCACACACACCTGCCTCATTTTGATTGGTCGGTTAAGCCAGCTTGTCTCTGATTTGTCAGTTTTTAAATCTTTCGTCTCGATCTGTTAACTTCGAATCTCTCGTCTCTGATTTGTCCATTTTGAATCCTTCGTCTCTAATTCGTCCGTTCGATTTGAATTCCAACTGAAATCTAGGAATATCATACAGTGTCCCTAACTAGTTATATTGTACATATATATGTAATAAGAGAGCCTGTTCTGTATTATTTACTTGTGCAGTATGTGTGTTAGATCTTGTTTATGTGATATAGAGGGGAGCATGCGTTACTCACAGGGTGGGGGGGGGGGATGGTGGGGGGGGGGGAGATACTGCAGGCCTGTCATTAAAGACTATGGAACATCTCTGCAATTCATGATTGATACTTGATGCAATATCGCATCTGGGGGATTACAGCTTCACCTCACTTGTTTCACGCCTCACCTCAAATCACTTGTGATTCGGTGGTAATTTGACTGAATCACTGCCACAATGTCAGACGTCTTCGAAGGAACTCTTACTGGTTCTAAGATGTCAAGTACAATGATTCAGTTGTACCAACATGTATCTTCTTCTTCTTGAGGTTATCTTTATGATGATGTCGGGGCTTGGCGTCCCCGCGGCCCGGTCCTCGGCCAGGCCTTCTTTTTTGTTACCCCCCCCCTCCAGGAAGCAGCCCGTAGCAGCTGTCTAACTCCCAGGTACCTATTTACTGCTAGGTGAACACACCCATCAAGGTGAAAAAAAACTGTGCCCATTTGTTTCCGCCTCCACCGAGGATCGAACCCGAAACCTCAGGACTACGAAGCCGGACCGCTGTCCACTCAGCCGTCAGGCCCCTTCAACGAGTCAGTAGCACCAGCATGTACCCTCAGAATGAGTCAAAAGCATCATCATCATAACCCGAAGAGTGCTTCGGGCCATGTGTGCTTCGGGCCATGTGTGCTTCGGGCCATGTGTGCTTCGGGCCATGTGTGTTTACTAGTTGTGTTTTTGCGGGGGTTGAGCTTTGCTCTTTCGGCCCGCCTCTCAACTGTCAATCAACTGTTTACTAACTACTTTTTTTTTTTTTTTTTTTTTCCCCACACCACACACACACACCCCAGGAAGCAGCCTGTGACAGCTGACTAACTCCCAGGTACCTATTTACTGCTAGGTAACAGGGGCACTTAGGGTGAAAGAAACTTTGCCCATTTGTTTCTGCCTCGTGCGGGAATCGAACCCGCGCCACAGAATTACGAGTCCTGCGCGCTATCCACCAGGCTACGAGACCCCCCCCCCTTGTGTTTGTGTGCTTCGGGCCACGTGTGCTTCGAGCCACGTGTGCTTCGGGCCACTAGCACCTATATGTACATGTGGCTTCAGGTACTGTATGTACTAGCTCCATCTTTAAATCCATCTTTAAATCCGTTTAAATAAATTTAAACGATTCTTCGCGGCAGGGGATCGTATTCCAGGGACCATAGGATTAAGGACTTGCCCGAAACGCTACGCGTACTAGTGGCTGTACAAGAATGTAACAACTCTTGTATATATCTCAAAAAAAAAAAAAAAAAAAAAAAAAAAAAATCATGTTTGTATCTCATCTTCAATGTATGTACCTTTACCTGAAAACAAAAATTTAAATGTAAATCACATATGTACCTTTAGAACGTGTCAATGACAACTCGATTTCCACACCGTGAGGACGGTGACGAAAATGGGGTGCAGGTGAGGGGTAACTACAATATCACAAAAATAATGGGAACTGCAGAAGACTTCTGTTGGGCCAAACGAGGCAGCTCCTGTTGGTCCATACAAGATGGCTCCTGTTGGTCCATACAAGATGGCTCCTGTTGGTCCATACAAGACGGCTCCTGTTGGTCCATACAAGATGGCTCCTGTTGGTCCATACAAGACGGCTCCTGTTGGTCCATACAAGACGGCTCCTGTTGGTCCATACAAGATGGCTCCTGTTGGTCCATACAAGACGGCTCCTGTTGGTCCATACAAGATGGCTCCTGTTGGTCCATACAAGACGGCTCCTGTTGGTCCATACAAGATGGCTCCTGTTGGTCCATACAAGACGGCTCCTGTTGGTCCATACAAGACGGCTCCTGTTGGTCCATACAAGATGGCTCCTGTTGGTCCATACAAGACGGCTCCTGTTGGTCCATACAAGATGGCTCCTGTTGGTCCATACAAGACGGCTCCTGTTGGTCCATACAAGATGGCTCCTGTTGGTCCATACAAGACGGCTCCTGTTGGTCCATACAAGATGGCTCCTGTTGGTCCATACAAGACGGCTCCTGTTGGTCCATACAAGACGGCTCCTGTTGGTCCATACAAGACGGCTCCTGTTGGTCCATACAAGACGGCTCCTGTTGGTCCATACAAGACGGCTCCTGTTGGTCCATACAAGATGGCTCCTGTTGGTCCATACAAGACGGCTCCTGTTGGTCCATACAAGATGGCTCCTGTTGGTCCATACAAGATGGCTCCTGTTGGTCCATACAATACGGCTCATGTTGGTCCATACAAGATGG